GAGATAGGTGTGAATATCACAGATTCCACTTATATAAAATTCTAGAGTAGGTAAATCTAATGTACAGTGACAGAATATAAGTCAGTGATAGTATATGTCGGGGGAATTGACTGCCAAGTTGCAGAAGGGAATTTTCATGTGATGCAAATAGTCTCTGACTTGTGATACAGCCCAGGTACAAACATTGGTCAAATTGCACTGAATCACATATTTATAAAGGAAACACTATATCATTCTTTTGGGGGAATTCTTTTTTGTTTCCTTTTTTGTTTTATTGGGCTATACCCGATGGTGCTAAGGGTTTACTCCTGGCTCTGTGCTGAGGGGTCACTTCTTGAGGGGGTCAGAGGATCAGATGAGGTGTTAAAGGATTGAATAGGGGTCAGTTGGGTTCAAGGCATGCACCCTATCCACTGAACTATCTCACCAGTTCCATGCATGTTATCATTCTACTTCAATAACGTGCATTTGAAACCAAAGTGAGTAGGGAGATGGCTGAAAGAAGGAAGCATGTGGCTTGCACATGTAAGACCCCTAGTGCTATCCCCTGCACTAGATGTCTTACTGAGTTCTGCCAGGGGGGGTAGACCTGATGACCCAAGAACTGGTGGAGACCCCCTGCCCCAAAGGGAAAAAGGGACCCCATTGGATGACAATAAATGCTTACTGACTGGAGGCCTTGGCCTCATCATTTTGTGCGCCCAGAGAGGAAGCACCTGGGGCTTCTTGCTCATGTAGCCCGGGTCTCACCTGGGCCACGTAGTAGCCGTTGGCTGAACGAAGCTGCAAGTTGGGGGCGTTTCTGTCGCATTCAAACTGGAACAAGGACAGTGGACTTACGTGCTCAGAGGCAGCATAAACCTCAATGTCTGCAGAGGAAGTACATGTCAGAAGTGCCCAGGGCTGACCTCAGCATCCAACTCAGCCCGTCCTTCCTGAGAGCGTCGCTGCTTTCCCACCTCAGTTTACACCCTTAAACTATAGGATCCCAGAAACCACCCAGAATGTTTCCCTCCACACTCTACCCCCACTTAATCCCCCTCCTCCCCAGCAGGGATCTTCGTTATAAGCTGATCCCAGACCAATTGCGCTTCTTTTAGCTTTCAGGACTGGAAGGTAGCCATTGGGGGGGGGGGGTGGGGGGGAGGTGTATCCAGCACTTGCCATAAATAACCGAGAGGAACTTCCGAGACTTTGAGCGGAGGGTGATCCAAGTCGGGCAGCGCTGGAGGAGAAACCACTCCTCTCTCCTGCAGGGAGCGGGGCCCAGGCTCAGGAGAAGATGGGTGCCCTGTGGGTACAACATGCCACCTTCTCCATCGCCCAGTGCCACCAGCCCTCCAGGCCGCACCTGCATGTGAAAAGCCGTCTGCGCGGAGGCGTGGGGGACCAGCCGGTCGATGTGGGACACGAAGCAGTGCGATGAGGTCTCTAGGTGGTAGTAGCCGTTTTGGAAATGCAGCAGGAAGCCACATTCCTCTTGGCAGGGAATAGGCGTGTCCACCCAGATGCGACCCACGCTGGAGTCAGCCCGGGCATAGCAGTTAGTGAAGGGGTTGTAGAGGACCACGTGGACATGCACGGCCGGCCGGGGGGTCCACATGTGGTAGGCTGAGAGCACCCGGGAGTGGCAGAACACCATCTCGCCGTCTGATTCCAGGTAGCGCCCACTGATGATGCACTGCAGCGTCCACTTGCTGTTGCGGTGAAAGCGAAGCAGGAAACATCCGTGGTGGCTGGTCTTGGGTCGACCATAGCAGACAGAGCCGTCAGCCTCGCACAGCAGGAAGAGGCCTTGCAAGCTCCTCAGTCGCACCATGGCCTGGTTCTCATGCTCATTGCTCACCAGGATCTCCCAGGTCTAGGAGGGGTCGGGAAGTCAATCCACCACATCCTAGGATTTGCAGAAGCCTGGCAACCATCGGCCCTGGCCTTGCTCAGCACCTGCTTGGAGACCAACTGCCTTCTGCTCCCCAGGTGGCCTACTGGCTGCCTGTCCCCCTCCTCTGACCCTTCAGCAAAACAGACATCCAGGGCTTGCCTAGAGCCTATGAGCAGGGCTGGCTGCCCCCAGTCCTCAGTTAATAGAAGGCCAACCTCTCGCTCTCAGCTCCTTCCTTCAATACCGGGTTTTCCCAGAAATTCTTGGGTTTCAGCCTTACTTCTGTCTAAAGTGGAGCCAGAGGCAATAGTACAGTGGGTAGGGTGTTTGCCTTGCATGCGGCCGACCTACGTTTAATCCCCGACATCCCAAATGGTCCCTGAGCACTGCCCAGAGTAATTACTGAGTGCAGATCCAGGAATATCCCCCTGAACATTGCTGGGTGTGACCCAAAATGCCAAAAAAAAAATTACGACCAACTCTTGCAGGCCTTTATGAGTAGCCCATTCTCAAACCGACTCTGGAATAGAAACTCCACTGGCATGACTTCTTCAGATGCCCCCCCTCCCCACTTCTGTGTTCTGCCCAGGACTTACCCCCACTCCTCTTTGTGATGCCACAAACCTTCTGAGCTGGGATGGGGGGGTGTAGAGTGGGGGGGTGGCAGAGGAAGATGGGCCCTTCCAGGCGGGGGCTGGGGCTGGGGCATCCCCTTGGGGAATAGGATTGAGAGATGAGAAATAGAGTCGTGGAGGCTGGGATACTAAAGTGAAACTTGGGAAGAGAAGGGGTTTGGTAAGCTTTTGGGAGAGGAGAGGGCATCCCCCCCCCCTCCCCATCACTCACACACACACACACACACACACACATACACACACACAGATGAAATTTTCCTTACCTGTCTTCGGCCCAAACCCTTGGCGGTCGCATGGACTCTGTTCTTACATGTCTCATAGGTTAGATAGCTTCCTGACCAGCTGATAAGCCCCACCTTTAGGTATTCAGGTTTGACTTGTGTGTGTGCCCACTCCTCGTCCATGGGGCCTGAACCACAGGTGATGACTAGCTGAAGCCCAGCCTTCCCCCCAGGGGTGAGCTTCTACAGGCCATAGGGCTGGGAAAAAGGCCTCAAGTACCCACCAGAAGACATTCCCAGCGGGAACTTCCCAGGCAGAGGCTGGCCCAGGGCCCTGGCGCCTCTGTGACCCGGAAGCATTGTGACTGTGAGGGTGCCTCCTCTCCTCCCACGCTGGTCAGTCAGTGGACACTGAGTCAGCAACATCAATCTGTGACTCAGAGGGTTTGGGGCCCTGGGCTCTGGTGTTAGTCTCCCCGTGTTTCTCCAGGAACCGAGGAAGGCAAAGACTGGAAACGGGAGTAGCAGCTGACGGCAATGATCCCCTGTGACTTCAGGCAAGTTCCCCATTCATGCCCCGTTCACCTGTCCCCTTGTTTCTCATTTGAATAACGAGATAATCACCTTCGTTCTCTCTGGGAAGTAGGTTATGCCCAGCGCCCAGGAGCACTGTTTTTTGGAGTACAAGATAGTAAGAAAAATGTACAAGCTCTTAAGGGCTTTGGGAGGTGCAAGCTCAGAAGTTCGTTCTGGGGAGTGTGGGGAGAGAGAACTGGCAAGTATCCCTTTCCTCCTGTTCACCAGGAAGACAGCTTCAAGAACCAGAGTAGAGAGTCTAAGAGGGGCTGGCGGAGGCCATGGTCCACCTTCCTCATGGAGCCCCCAACCTCACGTGACCAAGCTGCCTTATAGATCATTCCTATGGCCCTTTGTTGGCTGGTGGCTTCCGGCACATTCTTTCTACAAAGCTCCCAGGCAAAATCAGCTGGAAGCTGGTACAACTGGTGGAGAGGATGCATGAAGGACAAAGGGAGGAAAGCTGAGAGGGAATAGCTTCCAAAGGAAATGAGAAGAGGCCCACACTTGGAGCCCACCCTTCGTTCCAGCCCCAGGATCACCTGTTCCCCTCACAATGATTACTCCCAAAGCCCCACCTATGTTTAACAAATACGGCTAATATACATGATTTGTGCCAGAATCATCTAGATAATTTTTTATTTGGGGGCCACACCTGGCAATGTTTGGGGAGCATGCACCACTGGGGATGGAACCTGGACCTTGGGAATAAATTGCGGGGCGCCCACCCCTGAGCAATTCACTATTCAGGGGGAAGGGTTGGGCTCCACTCTGGCTGGCTCTATGCTGGCTGAGGGTGGAGTTAGCTCCTGGGGTGCTCAGGTAAGCATCTTAACACCTGTACTGTCTCTCCAGCCACTCTCCTGGGGAACTGGGAGAGGCATATATATTCCTGGTCTTAGAACGATCGCGATGAGCTGCATTTTGGGGAAATAAACCTCAGATCCTTTTTCTATTATATTTTTTGGTTTGGGAGCCACACCTGGCTGTATTTGGGCTTACTCCTGGCTCTGTACTCAGGGATCACTCCTAGCAGGGCTCAGGAATCCATAGGAGGTGCTGGGGATCAAATTCATCTCGGCTGCTTGCAAGGCAAGTGTCTTAACCTCTGTACCCTCCAGCTCAGGAACCTTGTTTTAGTTGTCTTTCTTTTCTTCTCTACAAGTTTTTGTTTTGGGGGGTGGGGAAACACCTGGCTGTGCTCAGGTCTTACTCCTGGCTCTCAAGGATCATCCCTAGAGGGCTTAGGGGACCGTATGTGGTTTGGGGGCCAAACCTGGCTCGGCCACATGCAGGTCAAGTGTCTCCTCATTCAACCCTCTGTCCAGCGCACTCCCCACCCCACCCAGCCCCATTTCAATGTACAAAACGGAATCACTAAAACCCCTGTGAAATAGCCAGAAGATACATAGAAGAATGAGGTGCTCTGCAGACCAGGAAGACGGATCCTGTTACTCTCAAGCCCTTGGAATTGGAGAAGAAATGCAATTTCCTCCATGGAGCCCCTCAAGCACTTCCAGCCTCAGAGGATGGAAGGAGAACTGAGCTAGACCAGGCACGTGAGGGGAGCGAGCAGACAACCTGGTCATCCCTGCAGCTCTGAGCTCATCCAACTGAGACTGAGACTGAGACTCCTCTCTTTGCAGCCCCGTTCTTCCACTCTGAGCTTCCAGAACACATGGTGTATACAAACCACAGCAAATTTATTACTCAATATCCAGTGCCACGTCATAGCACCACCCAGAGCCCTCCCCGGCCCTCCCTGCCTGGCCCCAGAGGTACACCTGAAATGGGAAAAGAAAAACAAACAACAAAAAACCAAAAACAAGCCAACCCGGATCCCTGCTCTTCCTCTGGAAGAAGGGGCCTTGGCCCGGGGAGCCCCCTTTCTGTGGGTCCCGCTGGGCAGGAGAGGGGACCCCTTTGTGTCCAGAGAGCAAGGCTCCAGGCTCCAACGACAGAGAACATGCAGGCAGGGGCAGGCGCAGAGGCCGCATCTGTGGGGACGAGTCCGGGACTGAGCATCCGGGAGCTTAGCGCTTCGACAGCTCATGGGACAGCCAGTCCAGTCCGTCGTACAGGCCTGTGCCCTGGGTGGCACAGGTGGCCTGCACGTACCACTGTGGGGAGCAGGAGAGAGAGATATCAGTCACCAGGAATTAGAGGAGTGCAGGGGGCTTGATTTCTGGCTCCCCACCTGTTACTCCCTTGCGGGGGGCAGGGGGGGCGGGGGAGAGGAGGCTCACCGTGCGGCTGCGCAAGTGCTGAAGCCCCAGTTTGTCCGTCAGCTCGCTCACGGGCATGGCATTGGGCATGTCCTGTTTGTTGGCAAACACCAGCAGCACCGCATCCCGAAGCTCGTCCTCCTGAAGCTGAGAGAGGAAGGGGTGCAATCTGGGGGTCTTGGGGGCTCCCAGGACTCCCTTTGGATCTTAGAGCTATTTGGGGAAGGGGGGACGGAGTCATTACACTGGCCAGGGTGAGCCCCTGTGGCACAACATCTGCGCAGGTCACAAGGCACAGAGCCGTGAGTCCCCTGAAGGCACCCAAGTCTCACGTCCAGAAGGGGAGCTTTTCTCGTCAAGAGCGTCTGTCCCAGTCAAACTACGTCACTTCCGACAAGAAAACCTGGGAAGGCAAGATGGTCTCTCCACCACAAGGGATCCTTCCCTCCCTGCCAACGGCAGGGCCTCTCAGAAGCACGAGGATGCACAGAACTCAAGGGCAAGTCCCTCCTCCACTTTCTACTTGGTCCAAGGTCAGAAAAGGGCACGGACAATGTCTTGTCTGTCGGGAGGGAGCAACCAAGGGCCCTCATCCTGGTGGGGCTCTGGGCCAGCTCTGACCTTCACCCTGGCACCACCTCCTCGCGCCTACACCCAGGGACTCACCATCTTCTGGAGCTCATCAGCAGATTCCTGGACCCGCTCCCGGTCGTTACTGTCCACCACGAAGATGAGGCCCTGGCAGCAGGGGCACAATGATGTCTAGGACCTTCCCTGCCCTGCCCTGCCCAGCCCCTCTACTTCCCTGCCCTGCCCGGTCCCTCTGCTACCCTACTCTGCCTCTCTGTACCCTACCTACCCCGAACCTGCGTCTATGCTACCCTACCCTACTCTGCCTATCTGCTTCTCTGACCCTTTATTATCCCTACACTGCCCTAGCGTACTCCGTTATTACTTTACTTTGCCTTGCCCTTATCCTACTATACCCTGCTCCTACCCTACCCAACCTACCCTGCCCCTACCCTCCTTGACCTTGCTCCTATCTGCTCTACCCTGCCCCTACCCTTATCCTACCCTTATACCTATGCTACCCCTCACCTATGCTACCCCTCCTCCCTCTTCCCCTACCCTGTCCCTACCCTACCCTGCACCTACCCTATTCTGCTCCTGCCTGCCCTCTTGAATTGTGTCTAAACTCTTCTCAGCAAGCAGCTGGTGTCCTGGGGAACCTTTAGCAGCTGTGCAGCTCAAAGACGGCCAGAGATAGGCGAGGGTCAAGGTATTGGGAGTAGGGGGGTGGGGGGACAGGTTGGCTAGAGAGCTTCACCCCTCTTCCTAACCCCAAGGCCCCTCACCTGGGTGTTCTGGAAGTAATGCCGCCACAGGGGGCGGATCTTGTCCTGGCCGCCCACATCCCACACGGTGAAGCAGATGTTCCTGTACTCCACCGTCTCCACATTGAAGCCTGCAGAGAACTCGGAGAACTCAAAGGGGAAAAGTCCTCCCCGGGGAGAACTCAGACCACCACCCAGCTGCTGGAAGGTTTGAGGGGGGTCCTCATGGGGCGGGGTCGGTCTCCTGTACCCCGCCTCCTGTGGGCACTGAGAGATAGGGTGACCCACTTCTCAAGTAGCTGTATCAGGTGTCAGGGTCGGGCGGGGCATTACGGGGAGGGGAGAGGGGAGGGAGAGAGGGCCACCAAAACTGCAGTCCTGCTTCCCCACACCTGCCACCCCCCCCACCCAACCCCCCCCCCCCGCCCCGGATCCGGCTGGCACCGTCCAGACTCACCTATGGTGGGAATGGTGGTGACTATCTCCCCTAACTTCAGTTTGTACAGGATTGTGGTCTTGCCAGCTGCATCCAAGCCAACTGGAAGGAGGCAAGAGGGGCAGAGGGATGGAGACGCGAGCGAGGGAGCCCCCTAGAGACCGGGGACCGGGAGAGGCCGGGGGCGGGGAACCCGGGCGTCTCCAGGTGCGCGCACCGGCTCGGGGGCCTGGAGTGCTCCTGCTCGGGGCGGTGGGCACCGGCTCCTGCCCCCCCCAGCCCCCCCACGGTGCGGGCGAGGCCCGGGGCTCAGAGGCCGAGCGGGAGGGCCGCGTTCCTGGGAAAAGTCGTCTCCAAGGGCGGAATCCTCCCGCCCTCCCGGCCAGGCTGGAGCGGCCGGAGCGTGTCACCTCACCCAGGCCCGCAGCTCCCGTTCTCAGGCCCGGCCCGGGGGCGGCGCTGCAGCCCGGCACCTGCCCGAGAGCCCGTGGCCCGGGTGCAGGTGGAGCGGTGGGAAGAGAATTCGGAGGTGGGTGACTCGCTGTGTGCAGCGGGTTCGGGGGGAGCCGGGCTGGAGGGGCGCGGGGGCGGGAGGGCTGCGCCGGCCGCCGGCGCTCCAGTCCCGGCCGCGCGCGCTCGATCTGCCTCACCCATGAGGATCCGCATCTGCTTCTTCCCGAAGATCCGCGAAAAGAGCGCCGACACGGTGAGGCCCATGGCGGGGCCCGGGGACAGGGGCACGAGGGCACGGACGCCGGGTGCGGGCAGGGACCGGCCGCCGTGGGGGGATGGGGTGCAGCAGCAGCTACAGCAGCAGCAGCAGGAGGAGGAGGCGCAGCCGCCGCCGCCGCCGCCTCCGCGCGTCCCGGCCCGCCCGACGTCACCGAGGCCCCGCCCCCTCCGGGCCCCGCCCACCGTATCACGCCCCCCCGGAGGCTCCGCCCCAGCTCCTCCCTGGCTCCGCCCCTAGGACCGCCCCCGGCTCCTGCTGCTCGGGAGAAACTCCCGGCTTAACCCTGGTCCTCCTCTCTGCATTTCCAGCGGCTTCCAACAGGCAGAAGGGTCTAGTTCTCCCCGCTTCTCGCGCACCTGTCAGATCTGTGGCTGCTGAAGAAAGATTTCAGTAGGCACCGACCTTCGGTAGCGGACTGCCAGACTTTGGGTTGTAGTCTGCACACTCCCGGCTCACCTTCAGCGCGTGGGAACTAGCAGCATCCACTTGTATGCACTGTTCGGAAGAGAAGCAGGTGTCTTACTCCTTTCTCATAGCCGTGTCCTTCCCCACTCCCTTCGATCTCTGGAAGGGTGCGCCAGGGGTAGGGGGGGGGGGAGGGAGGAAATGCCTGAGAACCTGAAGGCCTAGTAGATTCCCTAAAACAGAGCTACTTTTGTTTTTTTTTGAGGGGGGGTGGAATTGGAGGGAATCATGCCTACTGATGCTCACGAGTTACTCTTGGCTCTGCACTCAGGAATTACTCTTGTCAGTGCTCAAGGCACCATCTGGGATGCCAGGGATAGATCTCGGCTCCGCCACAAGCAAGGCAAACGCCCTATCCTCTATACTATCTCTGCAGCCCCTAAAACAGAGTTTCTTGGTGTCTGATTAACAGAACCCCAAGCTCTTCAAAGCCTGGTGAAAGCGCCCGCTTCGGCATATTGGAGAAGTCTGTCTTCATGTCCCCGGATCTGGAACCATGCCTTTCAGATGATCCTGGTAGCCTTTCCGAAGCATCTGCCTGACTTTGCCACAGACCTGGGAAATTTCTTGGCTTGTAAATGTACAGCTCAGAAAGATTTTGTGAGACTTTGGCTTCTCCAGACTCAAAGAACTTTTCAAGCATATTTTTCCCCATTCATCATCTTCTCTAAAGGGAAAGAGCGAGATAAGAATTTATGGGCCAGGGATAGTACAGTGGCTCAGGTGCTTGACTTGCACAGCTCACCCAGGTTTAATCTTTGTAGTCCTTTATGGTAGACTAACCAGGTCCGACTCTGCTTAGCTTCCGACATCAGACAAGATCAGGCATGTTCAGGGTGGTATGGGCCGGAGTGATAGCACAGTGGTAGGGTGTTTGCCTTGTGTGCGGGCCAGCGTGGCCGAGCCGGGTTTGATTCCTCCCTCCCTCTCGGAGAGCCCGACAAGCTACAAGAATATCTCGCCCACACGGCAAAGCCTGGCAAGTTACCTGTGACGTATTTGATTTGCCAAACACAGTAACAAGTGTCACGATTACTGGGCCTGCTTGAGCAAATCAATGAACAACAGGAGGACAGTGCTACAGTGCTACAGTCCTTTATGGTGACCCAAGTCATCCAGGAATGATCTCTGAGCGCAGAGCAAGGAGTAACCCCTGAGCATCGCCAGGTGTGGCCCTAAAGCCAAAAAGGAAAAAATAAATAAATTTCTTCTATTGTAGAGACTGGGTCAATGCCAGGCATCTTATAAATGCTGAACAAATGCTTGCCTATTGCACTTGAGCTGAGGAGTTGCTGGGTGGAGAGGGTATTTTGTCAATTCTGGTTTCTCAGTAGGTTCCTAGAACCCACTGATTATGGACTGGATATGATGAGGTGAACTGGAAAATTAAAGAAACTTCATTCACTCAACAAATATTTATTGAGTGTCCATTTGTGTAATTATGTCAATCTAGATTCAAATCACAGATCTACTATTCTTTTTTTGGGGGGGGGAAGTGATGCTTCAAAAATTTGTACAACTGTCAGTTTCTCATCTGAAAATGGAGTTTAGAGGATTAAGGGATCAGAGATAGCACAAAGGGCTGGATGTATGCTCTGTATGCTGGAAAGTTCGGTTTTCTCTCATGCACTCTGTAGTCCCCTGAGCACAAAGGTTGATTCCAAAATGAAACAATAAAAAGATGAGTATGTGCCCTGTCTATCTTATGAGTTTATGAAGATAAAAATGACATTGCATCACATCTAAGTGTTTTGTTTATGCAGTAACACATTTGAATATTTTGTATAATGCAGTTGAAGGCTATTTGAGCCAAGAAACCAGGTCTGAACAGACCTCTAGGGCTTTCTCTTATCTGATTCTTAATGTCTATAAGGAGACTTTGAGCAGTAGAAGTGAGTTGATGCAGGATTGTACTTTTCTGTTTCATTTGCATACCGAAGAAGACTTTTAAAAGCTTAATGAGTACGTTTAAAATAGTCTAATGCAATAACAAAAATAATGGGGACCTGTAGGATACATTGGGTTTGTCCTTTCAGCCTTGCTGCAGGGAACTTAGTTTACCTTAAAGCAATGTCCTTTCTGTATGGACACAGGAAGACAGTTAATATTATGCTTTGTAACTTGGGAGTTGATTGACTCCAGTAATATTTACTCCTGGGCATCTGCTCTCTCGACTCAGTTGTCCTTACATCCTAGCACCTCAAAAGCAGGGTCCCGACGAGGGACTGAATGAACCTAGGGCAAGCTGTGAGCTACCTTGGCAGCGAAATGGGCCAGGCCAAAACGCCACAATACTCTACTATAAGTAGAGAGCATGGTCATAGACAAGTGCTATCATGGTCCAAAAGTAATGACGAGATTAGGACCCTGCTAGGGTTAGAAAGACTAACCTGATCTGAGGACTTGCAGTCTGGAATATATAGTGAGATATCCTCAGGAATAACCAAACCTTAAGTTTATATCTCTTACTGTGCTCATACAGAATGGCATTGCTAGAAATATTAGAAGTAGATTTACTACAACTATTCAAGTGGATTACTAGATGAGGAAAGAAGAAAGTGACACACCCTGGATGGGATCCCACACTTGAGCAGATCTCCTGGTAATCTGGAGTAATCTCTTTAGATGAGATTTTGTCCTTGAGTTAATCTCCTGGAGGAGTGCTTTTACCTCTCTTTGTTGATTTGTTAAAAGTTCAACCCACCTTTGTATTTCCATCTTACATGATTTCTATATAAACTAGGCTGTTAAAGTGGGCTGGGAAGCTGGAAGGAGGATGAGGGAGAATGAATTGGGAGAGAGAGAGAGAGAGAGAGAGAGAGAGAGAGAGAGAGAGAGAGAGAGAGAGAGAGAGAGGAGAGAGAGAGAAGGGGAATCAGAGGAGAATGGAGAGGATAATGGAATAAACTGCAATTGATACTGACCAGCCTGGCCTTTGTTCCTTCCTTCGCCTACCCACTGCCATTGGCCTCCCCGGGGCGGGGGAAACAGAGACCACCAAACGGAAGCGGCAGGAGAGATAGAGCACCACTGCCCTTTAGAAAATACACAGGGACCAAATCAGGTCATTTCCATGACTTGATTCTTTATTATTAGTCTCTTCCTTTCCGTACCTGTGGTCATTGCCCTATTTCACTACCCATCTTGTCACCTTGACTAAAATAGGGATATTCTCCCTTAGTCTCTTTGCCCTGTCATGCAAATGTCGATTTGGGGGGGGGGAGGACTGGGGGGTTATATAACTGGTGATGCTCAAGGCTTACTCCTGGCTTTGTGCTTAGTCGTCACTCCTGGAGGGCTTGGGGGACCATATGGGTGCTGGGGATTGAATCCAGGTTGGCTGCATGCAAAGCAAGCACCCTACCCGCTGTGCTGTACTATCTCTCTGGTTCCTCTACCCTGTCATAAAAATTTAATGCCATTCTTTTTGGGGGGGTTGGGGGTGGTGGATGAGGGTATCAGGGTCACACCCAATGGTTCTCAGTGGCTATTCCTGGCTCTGTGCTCAGAAATGACCCCTGACAATACTTGGATTCAAATGTGGTGCCCAGGGTTTGAACCAGGGTCATGTCCATTACAGGTTACCTCCTGTACTATCTCTTCAGCCCCAATAATAACATTTTTGAGATTAAGATCCTTTGCAGTGCATCCTTATCATCCAAGATAAAATCTAAATGCCTTAATTTTGGTTTCCATCTTTTGGGCCAACCCCATCTATTAGCTCCTTCACATACCCGACATCAAGTGTATTTCAAATGCCAGGAAGCGCAGGTCCAAGAAGGCTGAGAATCCGCTGGTTTACTGCTTGTTGTGGTTTTTAACTATGGGTTTATGAACTGGTTCTCAGAGTGCTAGTTTTCAGGGTGGATGTCAGGTGGAAAGGCTTGAAAACCATTGCCCTAAGCTATTGCCTTGCGATCTTAAAAAAAAAAAATTGAGACAACATTAGTTCAAACAATTGTTTTATGTTTTAGAGGTACAATTTCTCACCTTTTCAAAGTGTATGTTACTTCGCCATAACCAAAACCAAAACCAGCACCCCCTCCACCACCATTCACTGTACCCCGTCCTGGCTTCCATTTTCCTTCCTACTTTGGTTAGTTGCCACAGCTTTGTAGTCTGAACACAGGAATTTCTTTTCATTGGATTAGTTTTATTAATAATGAGTCTCCTACTTTCGTAATGATTTTATTCTTTGTATCCCACATTTGAATAAGACCATCTAGTATTTATTCTCCTTCTGACTTATTTCACTTAACATGACACCTCTGGTTTCATTTATATTGTGGCAAAAGAAAAAATTTCATAATTTTCTTCCAGCTGGGTAATATGTCATTATGTATATGTATCACATTTTTCTTATTATTTCACATTTTTTTTCTTTATCCATTCATCTGCAGTTGAGTATTTTGGATGTTGTTTCCATGTCTTGGCTAAAGTAAATGGTGCTGCAATGAATATAGGTTTGCACGTATCTTTTTAAGTTAGGGTTTTTGAGGGTTTTTTGTTTGTTGTTGTTTTTCTTTGGATAACTGTCCAGAAGTGAAATTGCTAAATCACACAGGCCAATTTTTAACATTTGAGAGTTTTCCATACTATTTTCCACAAAGTCTGCACCAATTTATGTACGTACCAATGGGAATAAGGGCTCTTATTTTGCAATATCCTCAGCAACTCTTGATGTTTCTGATCTTTTCATTGTAAGCCATTCTCAAAGGTGTGAGGTGGTATTTCACTGTCCTTATGAGTTACATTTCCCTGCTAATCTGTGATAATGAGCATTTCTCCGGTTCCTACTGTCCATGGAATGCCTTTTTTGATGAAGTTTTTCTTTGATGAAGTTATTCAGTTTTTCTTCTCATTTTTGGATGTCATTGTTTGTTTTCATGTTGGATTTTATGAGTTCCTTATATATTTATATATCTTAGATATTATTCCCTTGCAAGATGCATGTTGTACAGATATTTTCTCTTATTAAGTAAGATTTTTTTCATTTTAGTGATAATTCATTTTTGCTCTGCAGAAGCTTTTAATTTGACATGATTCCAGTGATTTATTTTTGCTTTTGTTCCCCTGTAATTAGATTGAATCCCTGAATACATTTCAGAAACCATTATCATAGAGTGTTTTGCCTATTTTTTTTTTCATTTTATTTTATGGCTTTCAGTGTAACATCCAAGTTTTTATTTTAATTAAAGAATTTTTTTGCAGTGCTAGGAATCCAACATAGGGCATGTGGTCTACCAGTGTACTATATCCCTGATCCATACCACTCAAGTCTATCATCCATTTTAAATTTTTGTGCATAGTAAACAATTCTCTTTGATTCTTTTGCATGTCACCATCTGATTTTCTCAACACTATTTATTAAAGACTTTCCTTCGTTTTATGCCCTTAGCTCCTTTATCATAAATAATCTGTCCTCATGTGTGGCAATTTAATTCTGGGTTTGAGATGTTTCTATTGGGGGGGGGGGAGGCAGGGACATCTTGTGGTTCTCAGGGATCACTTCTGGCTCTGCACTCAGTTATTACTCCTGTTGGTGCTTGGTGGACCATATGAGACGCCAGTGATTAAACTCAGGCTGGCTGAGTGTGAAGCAAATCCCTACTCACTGTATTATCACTCGAGACCCTGAGAAGATTCTTTTGTTGGCGGGGGATTGGGAAGCCTCCCAAGCAGTGCTCAGGAGTCCCAGGGGCCCTTCCCAGCATTCTTGGTCAGGCCTGAAGTTGCATGCAATGATGGTTGGGGATTACCTGGGCCTTCCTGAAAGTACTGGGAGCCTCCAGGGATGTACCAGTGGTATTCGGGGCCCATGTGGGCCTGGGATCTACTACCATCACCTTATCCCCTATCCCCAGTTGAGATGACTCTTTTTTTCTTTTCAATTATTATTTTCAAAAAAATTTTATTTTAAGGTGAAAGTGATAGTACAGTGGGCAGGGCACTGCCTTGCATGTGGCTGACCTGGGTTTGATCCTTGGCACCACATATGGACCCCCAGTACTGCTAGAAGTGATTGCCTGGAGTAAGCCTTGAGCACTACTGGATGTGACCCCAAAAACAACATTTTATTTTAAGTACTGTGATTTCCAATACCGTTAACGGTAGGGTTTCCATGCACTAAATGTTCCAGCACCACACCCTCCCCAAGATTGACAACTTCCCTCCATCACTATTCGGGTATCCCCCTCCCCAACTCCGTCAATAATCAAGATGATTCTTAGTATTCCCCAGATGAGCAGGCTCTCTAATACTCCCAGAGTCGTCACAATTTTTTTTCTCTTTCCCTAGAATGCTGGTTTCTGGCATCCCTAGATGAATACTCATCACCCATTCTTCAAACACTGATGTATTTTCACTGGAAACCGTCTCAGGTTTTCCTCTGCCTAATTTCCATACTACTTTGTATATACTTATCCGCACTGGCATAGTAGCAAGACTAATGTTTGCAAGTCTGGTTTCTCACTCGCTGGCGGCAACTTGAAGGCAGGATCTTGACACTATCATAGTAACAACTGGAACAGTAGTTGGTAAGTGGAGAATTGAACTTGTTTAGACAGGATTCCTAAAGGTACCTGGGCATGTTACTTAGGCTCTCAGTTCCTCATGTTCCCATGTCTGTAGAACAGTCCTAAAAATTAACCACTGGGCAGAACTGTTGTAAAGACTGTAGGAAAAACGCTTGTGAAGCTCCTGGAGCATTAGCAGGCACCTAGGATGGACGTCATAGATTGTCCTTTACATCTGTCTGCTGGATCATCTCAGCAGAATTCAGGAAGAGTCCTTGTCACTATTTTATAAAGATTGGTTATCAAACATTAGAAAGGTTGGAAGTCCTGGGGGGGAGGGGAGAGGGTCTAAAACTGTTTTAAACACCAAATAGTGGAGCCACCTAGCTCACCCGTGTGTTTGGGACGGATCCAGGGCGACACCGCCCCCTGTCGCTCGAAACTATTGCCTGAGAGCTGGCTCAGGCTCCCCCACCAAAGTTCCATCCCTCCCGTGCCCACGCCTTCTCTCGCTCCTCCCGGATTCCCCGGAGAGGAGTGGCCCCGCCCACCCCACGCCCGCGGGGGCGGAGTCGCTGGCGGCGTGTGACGTCACTTCCCTCGGACCCCGGAAGCGTCCTTCTTGCTCGGCCGTTGGTTGTAGTTTGCCGTCGGGATGGGGCCGCGACGGGGCTGTTGCCGCACGGGTGAACGAGAATCGGGGGGCGGCTTGTGAGGCCGGGCGGGCGGACCCCCAGCTGCTGCTTGCGCCGCCCGGGCGGCGGCGTCTCACTCTCGGGGGTGGGACCCGCGTCCGCTCCCTCCCGGCGCCCGGGACCCGGTTGGCTCAGCTGTCCAGCCCGCCCCACATCCGGTCATCGGCACCACGGGCCTTGCGGCGGGCAGGTCAGCTTCTCTCGGCCAGTCGCGTTTCCAACTCCCGCTCCCGAGTTGCCCCGGTTCTGATGTGGAGTATCCCGCCTTGAAGCGCATCCCATGGAGAAGTTTGGGATGAATTTCGGGGGCGGCCCCAGCAAGAAGGAGCTGCTGGAGACCATCGAGACCCAGAAGAAGCAGCTCGTCCAGTACCAGTCGCGTCTCAAGGACGTGGTCCGCGCCTACAAAAGCCTCCTGAAAGAGAAGGAGGCGCTGGAGGCCAGCGTCAAGGTGCTGTCGGTCTCCCACGAGGCCGATTTGGGCCTGGCAGGCGGCCCGACGCCAGGCCTCCCCTTTCCCGACTCCGTGGACGACCGGTGTTCCACTCACAGCGAGGACAGCACGGGCACCGCCACCAGCCTGGAGACCGCGGCCAGTCTCACCAGCATCAAGGGTGAGTGTGGGGTAGAAGAGGACAGAGTGGCCCGCGGCGGCGGCCCAGCACCTCCCAAGTCCGAAGAGACCAGCGGGTCGGAGAGTGGCGTTAGCAGTAGCAGTGGGGATGGGCCCCCCGGGGGTGGGGATGTGGACAAACGGCTGCAGCAGCTGAAGACCCAGTTGGCCACTCTGACCAGCTCTTTGGCCACCGTCACCCAGGAGAAGTCCCGCATGGAGGCTTCTTACCTGGCTGACAAGAAGAAGATGAAGCAGGACTTGGAGGATGCCGGGAGAAAGGCAGAGGAGGAGCGGGGCCGCCTGGAGGGAGAATTGAAGGGTCTGCAGGAGCAGATTGCAGAAACCAAAGCCCGGCTTATCACTCAACAGCACGATCGGGCCCAGGAGCAGAGCGACCATGCCGTGATGCTGCGGGAGCTCCAGAAACTGCTGCAGGAGGAGAGAACCCAGCGCCAGGACTTGGAGCTGAGGCTGGAGGAGACCCGAGAAGCCCTGGCAGGGCGGGCCTACGCTGCAGATCAGATGCAGGGGTTTGAACTACAGACCAAGCAGCTGAACCGGGAGGTGGAGGAGCTGAGAGGTGAGCTGCAGGCGCTGCAGGACGAGAAGAACCGGCCAGACCCTCGGCTCCAGGAGCTTCAGGAAGAGGCCGCCTGCCTCAAGAGTCATTTCCAGGCCCAGTTGCAGCAGGAAATGAGGAAGGTAAATGTCTGGGTCTCTTTCAGATGTTTATCCCGCGAACCTGAAGTGGGATGATGCATTCAGGGTGTTTTTTCTTTTTTTCTTTTGGTTTTTGTTTCTCCGTGGGGAGGAACAAAGCCGTTTTTGATGCAGTTCCAAAAGTTCCACTTGTGAGTATTGAGGAGTCCCGTGTGGTGTTGACTGTGACCGCATGGATGGTGTCTGTATTGGCAGTTTGCTTCCAACAGGTAGAGCTTCTGAGTGTAGATGGGTCAGACTCAGACAGCTCTTGTTTCTGAGCTTTGGCACTGCCTGTGCTCTAGGAAGCAGCCTATGATTGTGACAGCTGTGCCTAGTAACACACAGACCTAGAGAGAAATCTCTTATCTGCAGGAAGGCGTACTTGACTACCAAACAGAGGGTGACTGAAAAGGGGGCAAAGGGAATGTTTTCTGAAGACATAATCTCTTGTCATTGTTTTCAAACAAGAGTTGCTGCATCTTCTATAATGGTGTGCTTATTATTTTATCTTCCCTTCTTTCCGAGTGGCGAGAGATCAAAATAGTTTTAAATATCCAGGATTATTTTTAGTGGAGCTGGAGGGTGGGCCTGGAGAGATAGCTCAGTGGATTGGAGCACGTGCTCTGCATTCAGGAGGTCTGTGTTCAGTCCCTAGCACCATATGATTCTCTGAATTTTATTTGATCATATGACCCTAAACTACATCCCCTCCTTCCCCAAAGGCAAATGATTTCTTGAGAAGATTGGGAAATGCAGGAGATTGGGGTAATATTTAGTCCGTTTCCACCCCTCATGTGCCCCTCACGCGAACCCCCCCCCCCCCCCCGTCCCGTCCCGTCCCACCATCCTGCCTAGTTTTGGGTCATTCACAGTGGTGCTCAGGGCCTGCTCCTAGCTCTGTGCTCATAAATCACTCCTGGTGCTCCTTGGGGACCATACATGGTACCAGGGATTGAACCCAGCTTGCCTGCATGCAAGACAAGCCCTCACCCACTGAGCTGTCTCTCCGGCCTGTGGTAGTGTTTCTTGATATGTGAGCAGGTATTTGGAAGTCCTGAGGCAGAGCACTAGGAGATAAACAAAAGAAATTAATACTGCTTGGGACAATGGTGTGTCTGGGAACAGACCCAGGCAGGAACTTTTGTGATGCCTGAATAAACAGAAAAAAATCCCCAGTGGTGCTTTTTCCTGGCCATTCCACTCTTGGAATCTTTTGTGCCCTTTCTTGCTGTGTGACTCGTCTGGATGCTTTTCTGTGTGTTCCTGTGTTTTGCAGACCGCCCTCGTCGAGGATCAGCTCCGCCGGCAGTCTCAGGTGGAAGAGCAGAGGGTGGCGGCTCTGGAGAATCAGATCTCTGAGGTGTCGGAACTGCTGGGCACCTATGAGAAAACCAAGCAGAAGGACCAGCTGACCATCCAGAAGCTGAAGGAACGCATCCTGCAGTTGGACCTGGAGAACAAGACCCTGGCTCTCGCCGCCTCGAGCCGATCCCCGCTGGACACTCACGGTGAGGAGTCCAATCTGGATGTGAACGTCCTGAAGGATAAGATGGAGAAGCTGAAGAGGCTGCTGCAGGTCGCTGCCCGGAAAAGCCAGGTGACCCTCGATGTGGAGAAGCTCTGCGACCTGGAGATCATGCCCAGCTCGGAGGCGGCTGATGGGGAGAAGGCCACGGCCCTCTACTACCAGCAGGAGCTGAAACAGCTGAAGGAAGAGTTCGAGAGGTACAAGCTGAGGGCCCAGGTTGTCCTCAAGAACAAGACCACCAAAGACGGGAACCTGGCCAAGGAGCTGGAGGACACCCAGGAGCAGCTGGCAGAGCTGAAGGAGAAGTACATCTCCCTGCGGCTGTCGTGTGAGGAGCTGGAGCGTCAGCAGCAGCAGGCAGCCGAGGAACGGAAGCAGGAGCAGGCCCGGCTGCAGCAGCTGCACCGGCAGGAGCTGGAGCGGAGCCAGCTGGACTTCAGGGAGCGCACGCTGCAGCTGGAGGAGGAGCTGCACAAGCAGCGGGACCGTGCCCTGGCCGTGCTGGCCGAGAAGGACCTGGAGCTGGAGCAGCTGCGCGCCGTGGCCCTGTCCTCGGGCCTGGCGGGCCGCCGGAGCCCAGTGGGGAGCGGGGGCGTCGGAGACCCGGCTGAGGCCGCTTCCCCGGATGGCTTGACCCAAGCGCTGCAGCTGGCAGCCGCCAACGAGCCCACCTTCTTCCTGTACGCCGAGCAGCTGGCCCGCAAGGAGGTGGAGATCACCTCGCTGAGGAAGCAGAAGCACCGACTGGAGGTGGAGGCGCGGCAGCTCCACGACCGGCTGCTGGAGGAAGGTGAGCAGCACCGCGAGGAGGTGAGAGCCCTGCAGAGCCACATCGCCAAGAACATCCGGGACCAGAGCCGCGAGGGCGCCAACCTGGAATACCTCAAAAACATCATTTACCGTTTCCTCACCCTGCCGGACACGCTGGGCCGCCAGCAGACGCTCACCGCCATCCTGACCATCTTGCACTTCAGTCCAGAGGAGAAACAAGTGATCATGCGGCTCCCAGCCAGTGGTAGCTGGTGGCCTTCCGGCAAGAGATGATGCCATTTTTTTTTAGCCCCTCCTGAAATCTTGCTGTGCCTCTTCGCGGGGAAGGGACCGGCCGCCGGCTTCCTGTCTGCTCCGCCCCTGCCTTTGCTCTCTTCACTGTGTGGATCTGGGAGGAGGCGTCAGTGTGGGAAGGGATTTTCTGCCAAATTTCGTTAATGCTGCTTTCTCTTTGGGCCGAGAAATGCTGAAAGTTTGGGCCCAGCCTCACTGTGTCAGAGGTAGTTGGTGGAGAATGGCAGAGAGGAGGGTAAAGAAGGCAGGAAGTGGTGAGACTCTTCTTTTCCTTAGACTCTTATTATTCTCCTAGTGCCAAACTGGGAATAATGGTGACTCCAAAGGGAGTTCGGTTAATTTCTCAATGTGCACATTTACTGGCTCTTTATTCCATTTCAGCACAACACAGTCTGGTCGATGACTGCCCCAATTCTCTGGGGACGAAAATCCAGGCTGGTGAAAGGCTGGGCAGGGTGAAGTCATGGCCGATGGCCCACTGGTTTGTAGTTGCAGGTGTCAGAAACAGAGTTTGTCCTGGGAAAGGAGAGATTGGGGCTCCTTGGAAAGGGTCCTTGGCTTTATCTGGGGAGAGCATTCCTGTGGCTGGCTGAGTGGGTCCTGGGTATCCACCACCTTAGGGGGTTCACCACAAGGACTGCTTGGGCGCAGGATAGGATTATACTTGATCTTTTGTATTTGTCCCCACCGTGGCCTGTCTGCTTCAGGTTGCCCTAAGAGTGCAAGTGACTGACGTTGCAATCTTTTCCAATTGATGTTGAACTTCCGTGAAGGAAAAGCTGCTCACAGAGGGAATCCATCTGGATGCTGACCCTGCCCAGCTTCCAAGCATTCATTCCAAGATCGGGTCTCCTTTACTCCCCAGTAGTTTTGGCATAGGTTAATAGGACAAGATTCGCTGTAGAAAATTCTTCCCAAGTGGTAGAATGGAGACGTTGATCTGAGTTGGGATGGGCCCCTGGCCTTCAGGAAAAAGTCTTCACTCTCTGCACCCCAAGTTTGTGTGGGTCACGTCATCCAGGCAGTTTGCCTGTTCCCTTAGGGAGGGATTTGAGTTTTCATCCAGGATCCCCATCTTCCCACCTGTGTGGGTGACCTTTCTATCCTTCTTAGGGAGGTTTGCTGTTCTTCCATCTGGGAAGGAGGGACTCAGACGAGTTGGATTCAGATGGCATTTCCTGTTACCTTCTTGTCCCTGCCTGCTCTTTCTGGTTGTAGAAATCTTAAACCACAATAGTGCTTTGTCATTAACTAGACTCATAGAGATCTTTCTGTTATTTTATCATAGAAATCTGTTTTAAGAGGGTTTGGGGTGCAGGAGATAAGATTAAAGGTTCTGATTGGGAGACTGGGAGACCCAGGCTGTGTGCAGTGAGCACACTTCATGGAACAGAAGTGTCGTGTTCAAATCATCACATAAACCATGGGATCATTAAATCAAAACAACTTGGCCTGTTCGAATGTGCTTCCTTTAGTGGTATATGTACATTAGGACACAATGGAGTGTGAATGGAAATGGTGAGTGAGAAGAATGAAAATTGTTCCTTGCATTAATCTTTGAGCTTGAGCCTGGGGAGGGAATACTGTGATATTTTAACTGCCTTCATCTGAAAAAGTGTGTGTGTGTGTGTGTGTGTGTGTGTGTGTGTGTGTGTGTGAAGCCACACTGGGAAAAGCATTCTCATGGGTGCAGGTGAAGGAAGAGAATTACTGCCCTATTTGGGTGGAGGACCCTGCAGCAGTGCTGGGGGTGGCAGGGACCTCCTTCCAGGAGCACTCAGTCTAGCTATATGGGTAGGCGTTTCAAAACTTGGCCCCATCTTTGGTGGTGGTGGGGTGCAGTAACTTTACACATCAATACCATGAGTGTTAACACAATTGTAACCATGTTACTTAAACTACAATAAAATTAATTTGAAATAAAAAAAAAAAACAAAAAACATGGGCCTAGCAATGCGGTGCTGCTCAGGCCTATGGTACTGGGAGACACTAGTCCCCTCAAATGCCCTAATGGTGATAGGGTACTAAAGGAGACCATATAGTGCCAAGGATCAAACTTGAGGCTTCCACTTGCCAGGTATGGACTCCAGCCCTTTGAGTTATCTCTCCAATCCCCTAAATGTAGAACATCTGGTGCTATTAGTTATTCCTCACAGGTCTTTGTATAGGCACATCTGCTTCGGTTTTTGAGGATATACCAAACAGGCAAAGGGATTTTTTTTCTTTTTGGGGTTTTGTGCCACATCCAGCGATCCTCAGGGGTTACTCCTGGTTCTGTGCTCAGGAATTACTCCTGGTGATGCTCAACGGATTGTATAGAATGCTGGTGGATTGAACCCTGGTTGGTGCATGCAAGGCAGGCACCCTACAGGTTGTGTTCTCTCTCTGGCCTCAAGAATTTGTTTTCTGTAATGTTCAGTATTGGGGTATCCATGAGCCTGTGGCTGTTCAAGTGAAATTAAAACACTTAGTTCTTCTTGCCTGTGAGGACACTTCAGAGCCTAGAAGTAATATGCAGGTAAGCCTAAATTCAAAATTCTTTTCTCTTTCCCTGAACCTCAAGCTTTCCAGCTCATTTAAGACTTAAGAAAGTGGAAGGAGGAGTAAGAATTAAAACCAGAAACAAAATTCATCTTCCTCAGACCCTGTCCCAGGATATGTGATGTGTCAATCAGGTGATTAGACGGAACCTTCATTTATTAAACATGGATTCAGACATCAGGGAAGGTAGTGATGAAGAAACAGGGAAAAAAGTGGCAGGTTGACGGGATTTCTGCTTTTTTTTTTTTTTTATCCCCTCTCCTATACCAAATAAGACCTGAGGAATAAATATGTTGTTTTTTGTGCCCTGCGTGTTGGTAAGTCCTAATGCCCAGAATCCCTGCCTTGCTGTGGAACTGACCCTGCCAGGCTGTTGTCCTTACTGAGTGCAAGCACCATGTTGAGTCATTTTCTACCCCTCACAGGTGGTACAAACTAAGGATGAGCCAACATGCTGATGGAAGCTTGAGTTGAGCCTGAACCACTTCTGATTTAGCCTCAGAAGTCGGCTGTGCTTCCTGAAGTAGGGAGGGTTGTACTCTTCCTGCACTCATGTCGTAGAGGGAGGAAAGAAAGGCCCATCTCTGGACTGACGTGGGCAGGTGGAAGTGGAGAGCGAAGTCTCTGGCTGTACCATGCTCCCCAAATTGTTAACACTGGAAAACTGAACAGGCAACATTGGTTCTCGGGGAAAAAAAACAAAACAAACAACCCTAAAGCAGCTCTTCCCTCACCTTCTAGATAATTTAGTTTTTAGAACTTGGATTACTGGATTAGCACTGTAGCATTGTCCTGTTGTTCATTGATTTTTCTTGAGGGGACCCAGTAATGTCTCCATTGGGAGACTTATTGTTACTGTGTTTGGCATATTGAATACGTCAGGGGTAGCTTGCCAGGCTTTGCCTTGCAGGCGAGATACTCTGGGTAGCTTGCCGGTCTCTTCAAAAGGGGCGGAGGAATCAAACCCGGGTCTGCTAGGTCCGTTGCGTGCAAGGCAAACGCCCTACCGCTGTGCTATCGATCCAGCCCTGGATTATTGGATTATTCTAACAAAATTAAGGGATTTGTATGAGCTCTTGCTGCCATGTGTTCCAATTTAACCTGGGGGTGGAAGTGGGGGTAGGCACTGGAGAAATTGCTTCAGGAATGTGAAAATGTCAAATACAACAGCTCCTCCCCTTGCCTGCACTTTGAGTTACCTGAGGTCAACCTGAGGGGGACTGGAGAGAAAATGAAAGGTTTAAGGCTGACCCCATTTCAGTCTCTGACTCCATAGATGCTCCCTTCAGAACCTTTGGGACTAATCCCTTAGCACAGAGCCAGAAGTGGCACACAAAACCAGTAACAAAAATCCAAATATTAGGCACGATAAGCTAATTTTGGAAAAGACCATGTTCATGTGATTTTTATGGCAATAAATTGTTTTATTCTGTCTTATAAATCGTTTGTGAGATGTACAGTTACAAGGTTGTTCATGATTGGGTTTCAGTCATACATTCACCAGTGTACATTTCCCACCACTAGTGTCTCCAGTTTTTCTCCTACCATCCTCCCCCCAAACCCCATCCTGCCTCCATGGCAAGCGCTTTTCTTTCTCTCACACTCTTCTGGGCATTATGGTTGGCAATACTGAGAGGTTATCATGTATATCCATTCCTTTCAGCACTCAGTTCTTATCCAGAGTGATCTTTTCCAACTTAACTCCAAATTAAGTCATTGGTAATCTTTTACAGTGCCTGAATTAGAAATTAAAGTTGATCATAGTCATGTCAGAATAGAGAAAGCATAGTTTATGGAGGGCTTGGTGGTGCCTGTAGCTTGAGGCACCCACTGGAGACCTTGGAACGTACCTCCTCAGGATACTGAGGTGCTGCCGTAGAACATGAAGGAATAGTTGCTTCACTCAGTTTTCAATTACCCGTGTCCTTCCCCTCCACAGGTTTCCCTGTGACCTCAGACTGACAATTTTTAAGGCAGTGTGCTAGATTCCACGACTATGGAAAGAAACAGCATTTTAAAATTTGTTTTAGGGGCCACACCCTGCCATGCTTAGAAGTCATTCCTGGTTCTGCGCTCAGGAATCACTCCAGATGGAGCTCGGGACCATACGGGATGCCGGGGATCGAACCTGGGTCAGAAGTATGCAAGGCAAACACATCACCCACTGTTCTATCTCTCCAGCTCCAGAAAGTTTTTTTTTGACATAGTAAATAGCATAGCGGGTAGGGCATTTGCCTTACACGCGGCTGACCCAGCCGACCCAAGTTCTATTCCTCCACCTCTCTTGGAGTGTTGGGCAAGCTACTGAGAGTATCTCACCCGCATGGCAGAGCCTGGCAAGCTCCCCTGTGATGTATTCGATATGCCAAACACAGTTACAAGTCTCACAATGTTATTGGGCCTGCTCAAGCAAATTGATGAACAGCGGGAGGACAGTGCTAACAGTGCTAAACTGTGGAGACATGTGGGCCAGAATCAATCATGTCAGCAACTAATGGTCATTCAGCCATCAGGATCACTTAAGCCGTGTCTGGACACTTCAAGCCAAAAGATGGCTTGTAGCCTTCCCAAGTTGAGGTGGTAGACTAAGCCAAGAGTCCCAGGGTGCCCCGCCAGCAAGTCCTCACTAACCCAGTCTCAGGGTTGTTGCTCCTGCTCTTCTCTCTCTCTGTCTCTGTCTCTGTCTCTGTCTCTGTCTCTGTCTCTCTCTCTCTCTCTCTCTCTCTCTCTCCCCCCCCCCTCCCTTTCAGTCTTAATACATCTCCAATACAGATCATTCCTGCCCCCAACTTGCTTACATCCTCCTGGGGTGAAGGTACATGGAGGGATGGAGGCTTCATCCATGCTCTGATCATGAGCAACCTTCATCAGTGATGATCTGACAAATGGTGGGAAAGTGTATCCCACACAGCAGGAACATATGGGTCAAAGAATTAGCCAGTGCAAGTGCAGTGGAGGCTTGATATTAAGGGAGGGTAAACTGTATGGTGTCACAGTTGTGAGGTCTGAAAGAGATATTAAAGTTGTTTGATTCCTCCCTGGACAGATAAGGAAATCCAGACAGCAGGATAAGCAGGCTCTTCCATAACGTTGTTTACGAGCAGAGGCTCTTTCAAGCCCAGGATACAGGTCAAAGATTCATTCCATGTGGCAAGTGCTATAAAGGAGAGTTTAAGGGAGGGACAGGACATTGAACTCAAGTCTTCAACGAATCAGCGAATAATAGAGTGAAGGTGACATTGAAGTGAGTTTTGCAAGGTGAGGGCCTGATAGTATTAACCACATGTATGGATAGCCCCAGAGATGCTCATGGGTGGCTATGGAACATGTAGCTGGTAGTAGATTGGGTCATTCAACATTTCTCCCAATGCTCAGAGTTAGAGAGATGGGAAAGGTAAAACCAATGTCAGCTCTCCTTGTATGAGGACTTCAGAGCTGCTCAAAGCTCTGCTAGAGACTAGAATTAGGTGGTGGGTGAAAGGTTCCCATTTTTCTGATGTGGCTCTAATGGGGACTGGTGACTTCCAGAGCCTGCAGGTGCTGTGTCTGACCCCAGACAAGTGGAAGAAGAAAAGTGACAACTTCAGGGGAAGGTATATTAAACTGGGGGCAGGGAGGGGAGGCACGTGTAGTAGAGGTGTTTGTTAGTGAGTTAAAAATAGTTTGGGTTTTCAAGAGCAGAGAAGGACTGGGGGTCAGCAGTGTGATGTAGGCCTGAGTATGGGTGAGATTGCTCAGTGAGAATAGATTTTGGGAAGAGTGGACTAAAGGTGGTGCCCACTCCTTTTAAGAAAAATATTTTGGACGTAATTTCATATTTACTAAAAAATTTAAGACTAGTACAAAGAACATGCATATAACTTTTACCAAGTCTCACTTGATAACATTTTGTTTTATTTGCATTGTCCTT